AAAAATAACACAACTGTTTTCCCATCTAGAGATACTCAAGGAGCAACGAGCGAGTTGCTGGACACGAGTGATCCATTTTTGGCGACATTAATACCTTGGAGACACAAATTGTTTCATATCTTCCACTTTTTCCAATCTGATATGGTTTCTGGCCTTGTAGCGAAGCTCCTGCGGACCGGAGCCCCATACCTCAGAAAATTTGGTAACCCATCGATCTAAAAGATTTTGGTTGTCACGTGACTGTCCGTCCGTACGCCACTTGCACTGCGCGTGCGCAAGATCAGCCCCATACCGTGAAAAACCATATGAACACTCTGTCTTTTTGACTTTTCCCATCAGGGACAAGTTTGGGGTCATGCCTGATATAGAGCTTCTCGACAAGAAAAGCTGATATATTACTAAGAAAAGTTGATATTTTACTTCATAAGCGCTTCGAAAAGACTTTTGTGACCAACCCTCTCACAAAGGCCCCTAGCTAGAGCATTTCTTTGCATTCGCCCATTATAAAAGGTATAATTGATGATTACTGATTCCTCTTTTTCTCAGCTCAGCAGCAACAATATGAAAGGCTTGATTCTCCTGTTGGTGCTGGCGAGTGGACGAGGAATGCCTCTCGGAAAGAATGCTGCGTCATTTCAGAGAAAAGCAGAACAATGGAGGCGCGATAATGATCTGTCTGATAAAAACGAGGCTCGTCTTGCTCCCAAGCATTTTCCCAATGAAAGAAAAGTTCCGTTAACTTTCAAGTATCTTTCTGCTGAAAACGAGGCTCCCCTCACTTTCAATCATTTCTCTGATGAAAACGAGGGTCCGGTCACATTCAAGCGTCTCTTTCCCGAAAACGAGGCTCTACTCGCCCGTCCCTTAGACGAAAACGAGGTTCCATTTACATCCAAGCATCTCTCAGACGAAGACGAGGCTCCTCTAAAAAGCTTCTACTCTGAATTAATTTCAGAAACACTTTACTTAGAGAAATATAGGAAAATTATCATTAATTCCGGAGCTAATTTAAGGGGGGATAACTTTAAATATAACAAACCTGATTTCGCTGTTGATCATCAAGATTCTGATGATGGTGGTGATGATGATGATGATGATGATGACAATTATGACAATTATGATAATTATAACAATGGAAACTGTGATGATTATGATCACGATGTAATTTATGATGATTGTTATGCTGAAAACTGGGCTGATGTTGATAATGATGATGATGATGACGACGACGTCGATGACGTTACGAATGCAATGTTGATGATTTTATATTAGTGAAGAAGACTACAGCAAAATTTATGATGACAACAATTTTTAAATAATCTTTAAGGAAAGGAAAAGATTGCAATTAAATACTACAAATTTCCACGTTGAAGTTTTTAATTTTAAGGTGATGCATTCTTTGTTGAGATGCACTCTTGCTGAAAAGTAAATCTGTTAACAAAAACAGTTACATTGTACACTGTATATTTTCTTTAAATTTCAAGTAGTTTTCCTGTTTTTTCATTTACTACCGAAAGAAAAATAGGTGAACAAAATGAAAGGTTAATATTTGTTCATAACGCTTTTCTGGTGGGCATAGTTTCGGAAGGGCTTGTTATTAGAAAGAACTTCGAACTTTTTACCTGATTTGCCTTATAGTTGGAAGGAACTTTGCATTTGATATACTTCTAGTAAGTAAAAATTGGCGAAACCTACAGATATGACGAAACGACACAGAGGAAAGTATCTCCTTTATTATAAGTCAAACGCAATGACTTCGAATGCAAAATAAGGCATTTAGTAGGGAGTTATAATCGGAAAAAATATATAACCGTTTTCTAGAGCTGAATATAAGCGTCCCTGAACATACAGTAGTAGCTAGTGGTACACAGGTTACACAACATTTGATATACAAGGATTTGCATGTAAAAAACGGTTATATTCATAAGCCTAAAAAATACGAACGAATATGAATGAATAAAGATAAACTTACCTTGATTCAGTTGTGTGTTTCTTTGTAGTTCCCGTTAGGTTTCTAGGTCGATTTATGGCAATGAAGGTGGCTTTTAGCGTCACTGCTTTAATTGTCGTCTCGATACCATTTCCTTTCTTTTCGTGAAGGAAAACGCTCGTCCGTGATGTATGAGGAATTTCCAGGCGACTGGAGCATTTGGAGCGAATTTACGGTCGTCCTCCTTCAGTGGTCCCGTTCGCATTCGTCAGCAGTCAAGGTAAAAACCACCTAAATTCCCATAAAACGGCCTAGAAAACTCACGAAAAACAAGGAAACACGCACCTAAAGCAAGGCAGGTTTATCTTTATTCAAACATGTCATACTCAGCTCCCCCAGTGGCATTTTTTGGGCTTATGAATATAACCGTTTTTCCCGAACAAATCCTTATACTTCGACTGTTGTGTAACCTGAGTGCTGCTGCATGTACAGGTACTTGGGCCAGCTGTACACTCGAAAACTCTCTCCTTCACAGAAGTCTCTTTTGTGCTGCCTTGGCCATGTTTCTGGGGCGCCTTCCCACTCTCATTTCACTTCCCCTCAGCGAAGGAGCCTCCGCGGAGGAGAGAACACCCGAAAATATGGCAAATCTTTCCTGTCCAAATTGGATTTCACCACAGACTCGTCGTTTCCCTTATTTAGACGCCAAAACCATCGACTTGTGTCCTGCCATATGATTGGTTAGCACCTTAGTCTATACATCTCGAAGCCGCAACAACAACAACAACAAGTTTATTTGTACTCATACCTAAAATTTAAGTTTGCCAAAGTAAGTTTAAAATAAAAACGAGTACATGACTGCCCGAAATAACCTTATTAATGGTCTAATAAGACTGGGCAGCCATCCTTAGTGATTAAAGCAATTATTTGTTTGGCTCAGCGCAGAAGAGAAAATGATTGTAAAACAAATTTTATGGATATTGTCTTTGACGCTAACAAATCACAGGCATACTTTTTAATAAGACAAATAAAACTGTATTGGCAACCAAGATTTTGGCTTTATTTGCGATTTTCTTGAATTTCCTTCGGTAAAATCTTCCAAAATTTTTAAAGCACATCGCTTCCAGCGGGATATAAATTTTAAACACGAAAAAATTAGGGTTTGTAAAGGCAGTTTTTTCGATTTTTTCAAATTTATGTCTTTTACCGCTGCAAAAAACCTGATCACATAGATTTCACTGAAAAACGAGCTCCAGCTAAAGTAAAGTATTTATTATTCGTCTGCAAAATTTTACGGAATTTCACCTAAGGAAACGCGAGAAAATTCACGCAGTCAGTTTTGCTTTTTGAGCTCATGTTGACGTCATAAGATATCAAAAAACACTGACGTTTTCCTTCGAGCGCGCGCAGATTACTTGAACTTTCGTCCTCAACGCGCGTGCGATCGTAAAACTATAGGGAGCAAACCTTAAAATTTAGCTTTACCGTATTTTCGGGCGTGTAACTTCAACATCCTACGCGGGGTTCAAAGGGGTCATGTACTCTATTAATGACGCAAGCGCTGCACCGGCTGTAAAATATATATCAGTTTCATCAAGCCGTAACAACATATGTTCTAGTAAACACTGCTCGGTAACTATGGCTGAGACCAAGACTGTATTTTTCCTGCGGAAATGGGAGGAAGGGGTGAAGGGGCGGGGTCAAGGGACTGTGTCATAGTCTCTTAATGGGTTTATCTAACTTTGGAGCAGGTGATGGGTGATCGAATCTGTATTTTGTTTCAGGAAGACAAACAGCCGCTGACAGTCTTATATTAATTATGGGTGAGTCTACGTCAGTTCTTAACATAACACTGCACTGATTTTCTCACCACCAACGACAAATCAGTGCTCAGTCGTTCCTGAAAATGTTTGAAGAGAAAAAATATGTAAATTTTGCCCCGACGCCAAGTTAGTAATGTATCAACCTCCAGTGAATGCCCTTCAGGGCTGGGTTGTTCAAGCCCCCCCCCCAGGCGTAACCTCTGAAATCGTGTTGTCGATGTTGGTATGTTAGTAAAACTAGCGCTGTTTTTGGTCGTTTTCAAACGTTAATGTTTGCCAATTCATGGGAGGCTCCTATGATCCTTGAGTCCACCCAGATATTAGAGATAAAAGTAGAAAAAAATAGTTGCAAGCATAACCGACTGATTACTCCCCGCCTTCGGATTTACGGAGATCACGGAGAAATAACTGGACCATTGTAACTCTAATTAAAAGTCAATCTTGGGTTGAGCAGAAGGAAAAAGACATAAGGTGCAGTGCATAAGGACGTCACATCTTAAGCCCGTCTGGATCACAGATGCGTCAAAACAAAAATACTATCTCAGTTTCCTATGCGCATTATTTTCTAGTTTTGGCCCATTACTACTGCAATGTTGTTTCCGGAAATCCAAAACAAGGCTACAGACACAACGAAGTAATTCGATGATTAACCTTGTTTCAAATTGTATTCCTCTCTCGAATGGCTTAAGCGGTTAAAATTGTACAAAGCTTAAATGAAACAGACCCAAACTTATATTTCCTAGAGTCCGACAGAGTTGCGACAAAATCGACCAACAAATTAGCATACTGAGCACCTAGAACAGCAAAGTTTTTCAGTGTTCTCGCCTAGTTTGATGAGTGAGAAATAATATTATCAAGTCGATAGATAGTTGATCAGTTGATCAGATAGCTGGGTCCGGGGGCAGGCACCAAAATGTTTACGTTTCTTATACATATATGGCTAGGAGATTTTAAATGATATTCACTGTTGCTCAATATTGCATCTTAACCAAAGCAGAATATCTCCTGTGCGTATCTGATCAGGGAAAAAAGAAATGATTCTTGTCTTGTATCATATAGTGTAGGTCAACAAAAGGGCAGAGTGCCTCATTAATTCTATTAAATTAGCTAAGGCATAGTTGGAGCCCCGGTTGGAGCGAACTGGACCTTTGTTGAGTCTATCAACCGGAAGTTGATATTAACGGAAGTTTACGGTTCCTATGTCACGCCACACCCGTCCTCCCACAGTCGTGACGTCAAAGAACTTGTCATCACTTACCTGAAGGACTTGGGCAGTTAAAATGTCAGCTGGATAGCAGATTTTCCTAGATTTAGATTAACTTAGTAGATTCCTTTACCTTAGCACGGTGAGTATAGATAAGAAATGAAGTTTTTCCCGTACAATGTATTTACTGTTATATAGGGTAACGTAAACTTATATGGTATCGATCGTTCCAAACTACATCGTGGTCACGTACTCAGCGTACAGTACTCAGAGTACTTGATTTGATTTGATTTGACTTCATGATCACATACATGTATATATTGCTTCGTTTGAATTTTGTTAGAGCTGACGAAAACTTACTAGCCAAAGGTACAGTAAATATTCAACGCCAATCGTTTCTCTCTTTGTATTTCTCTCTAAAGAATAACTCTACCGGTATTACACTGCGAGCGCTTGACCCCCCTCTTCAACTGTCGAATCGAATCGATCGTAATGGATTCGTTTTGGTGGATTATCTCTGCTGTGTGCTTGTGCTCTACAACTTTTCTGAGTATTGAGGCTCGTAAGTATCCAAGAACGGTTTTAGATAGCTGGATTGCATTCATCACATTAATTACCGAAAACATCTTCGTTTGACGTTAGAAACATAACACCCGATACGCATCGTCTTCAAACTTATGCTCTGTAGGGGAGACTTCGCACGATCACTGTCAAACGGCTGCACACTGTTGTTTATGAGTTTATTTCACCTCATGTAATAAGCTTACGTGTGCCAGAATGCTTTAATTTTTAAGAGAATGAACAATACACTAGTTTGACAACACAGTCAGGCTTTGCGTTTTTTTTTTCCATTTTCGTGTGTGCTAACAACTTGACCATATGCAATTTATGCACTATGCAGTCAACCATTTATAATTGCAATAATTTTTTTAAATGAATGCCTAATTTCATTCCCAGTATTTTTTAATTTGTTGTTCCCTCACTGATAACTCCATAGTCAGACCCCTATGTAAAGACTTTGTAATTATTTTGAATTCAGACTTCACACCTTAGGTATATATACTACTGAAGGCAATTATATTGGCTTGTGGCATGGATTACAGCGGGACTTTTATTTTGCTCACAATATAAAAGTGAATTTCTCAGACTACTGTCAGGGAGAAGGGCGAGTCACATGCTCCTTCTGGCCAGGGTCTTGGGGTTTTTGCTTTGCTTTGGTTTGGTTATATAACCTTTCTTTCTCATTTCCCCATTTGTTTACAATCTGGAACCACACAACAGGCTAAACAAGTATCAACACCTGGGGTTGCATTAATGTTTTCAGTAGGAGGACAACTGGTTTTCACAGGCGGGCAAAACGTTTTGAAGTGAAATTCTCTATAAGAAAAACTTTCCTGTAGATGGTCAAACCAGGCGGGCAAAATCATCCTCACAGGCAGCCAATTTGCCCGGTTCCTGTTATGCCCAGGACTCAAGCTCATTATCTAGCTAAAAATCTCTGTATTTGTTTAATTTTTAGAGAGCGTGGCACCCTACTTCATAACGACACCCTCAAATTCAACAGCTGTATTACATGCAGATGTGCGATTAGACTGTCAAGCCTTTGGGATACCTGCACCAACACTGAAATGGGTGAAATATACTGACAGTGGCGAGACTGTGATTCAGACTGGTGGGAGGTTTATTGTGGGTGCTGTCTTTAAATATCTTTATATTTTGGGGATACACTGGTCTGATGCAGGGCGATATGGCTGTGTCGCACAGAATCAGTATGGAAGAGTCATAGCTGATGCTTATGTTACTGTTGTAACAGGTATGTTGGACGTCACTAAGTACATGTAATGCTATCGGATTACATTTAAATTCACAATGATCATTGAACATTATAGCTAATCCTATCAGTCCCTTGGGTGATCAGCTTGTATTTTCTATGTATGTGGACTGTATTTTCCATGTAATAACTTATGAGAATTATGAAACCAATCATTCCCTCCTCACCCCTCAGGATGTACGCAGCACACACCAATGAATTGGATTGGGCACTAATAGCCTGTGCACTAAAACCCCACCAAAACGCTACAAAAGCTCCCTAAAGAAATAAATTAAACTGTATAACTTAAAACGTATAGTAGTTTACTGTTTGGCTAGTTGATTATGAATGTATTGATTACTTGAAGGTTTTGAAGGTGTCTGGCAATTTACCTGTGGGAGAAGTCTCTTAATGTAGCTATTACCGATAACTGACCAAAAATATCTGCAGATAACATTTGAATGAAATAATACTGAAACAGTTAAGACATACTATATGTTTGACATGTACAGTTGGTTTAAGGGTACAGTCCATGGTAAGAAGGAAGGAGCTTATCCCAGTTTCTGTGGCATAAAGCAACTAGGAATGTTTCTAGTCCCTGCTGGAATTGGGATGCTAGTCTATCACAGGGCTTAAATAACCCTCAGGATTAAAATCGCTGGTACCCACATGTGCACCAGGGTGGATAGAGGCACTGTGAGAGTATTTAAAGTGTCTTGCCCAAGAGCACAACACAATGTCCCCAGCCAGGTCTCAAACCTGGACTCTTCGATCCGGAGTGGAGTGCACTAAACATGAGGCCACCATGCCTCCACAACAGGTGTTTATAAATTTTAGTTATTAATATTTCCTACTTGTTATACAGAAAGTCCACCCAGCTGGGTCATCAAGCCACACAATGTGACATTGTATGAAGGACAACAGTACACATTACCTTGCAAGACACATGGCTATCCTACACCAAGCTATTTCTGGTCACACCATGGATCCCTTGTCATGGACTTAGATGTGAGAGTCCTTGCGAACAACTATTTGTTTTTCTCCAATGCAAAGTCATTGCACAGTGGCTGGTATACATTTACCGCATCAAATATCTATGGAACTATTTCTCATTCTGTCTATGTGGATGTGGTCGCAGGTATGTCAGTTGCATTATTTTATAATCTGCATGTGTTTAGCACTTGGCTCAATTTTACCCTCTGTACACATAATTTGATATTTTCCTTTGTTCTGGTGTCAATGGGTAATATATTAATAAATTTGTAATGTACAAGAAACAAAGGGAAATACCATCGAATTGTTCCAAGGGTAATAATTTATTGAACCAGTACATAATATAACATATAATACAATTATAATTGTATTATAATTGTATTATAATTGTATTATTTTAAAATGCAGCTAGCAGACAATCAAATTCGGCAGACGTACTGTAAGCATTCACTATATAATCCAACAGTGCACACTGTTAGGGTGACCAAATCATTCCCTAATTTTTTTTTTCTCATGCACTTGGGTTTTAATGTTCTTCTGCACCAATAATGTAGAGCTATAAGTACAATTCTTACGCTTCTATCCGATCTTTAATTTCATGCCCTCCAAACTTCCTGTTCGTACATGTACCATAACTTGATAGTGCATGTACTTAAAAGCATGATTCAGAACCAACTGTTAATAAATTATTATTGGTATATGGCAATGACAGGCACTAGACAGGATTCCTACTAAACCACCATGTACATGACATTGCATCCATTAGATGACAGTGAAGGGCTGGCAATTGAAATTGACTTGAGCTAAACCTCATCTTAATTTCATTACTTCATCATGCTCATGATGAATTAATAATGTTTTATTCTCAGAGTTCTCATGACTCTGCTTTTGTTCTCAAAGATCCATCAATTGTCATTCAGCCTGAAGATTTCCCCACTGTTCATGGACGGATGATCACATTGTCGTGTGGTGTAGTCGGCAGTACATCATTGAATGTCAAGTGGGTAAAGAATGACAGTGATTTACCAGATGACAAACTGATCTCATTGACACATCAACTTAATCAGCAAGCTGTTCAAGTTCATACATTGACAATCAAGAAAACTAGGCGTCGCCATCTTGGAAAATACAACTGTATTGTGAAAAATGCTAAGGGAAGTGTAAAAAGCAGGACAGCTCAAGTTTTCTATTCTAGTAAGTAAAATCAATGACCTTTGACATACCTGTAGTTGTTTTTCTGTTCAATGTCTAAGTTACAGACTGAGGCACCGGAGAGTATTTTAAAATGTGGGGAAGGGGGGAGGGGGGCTCATCGTACACCAAGCCAAACACATAACAGGTCTACTAATTCCACAAATTTCCTAAAATGTCCTTAAGTTGTATAAAGGTAGTTCACTGGCACAAGCAACCCTCTTTGATAGTGTCAAAGGTGTGTCTGTAATTGACTTTTGACAAGGCATAAGTAAGCTCAGTCTAAGCAGTTAATTGGCTTCACAACCACAGGTCAGAGCTGTTTAAAAAATGTCCTAACAACAAATTATTTCAGCAAACTTATGGTATCCAGATGAAAGATATGTGAAAAGATGATTAAGTCAAGAGCATATAAATATTTTGCCAAACCAATATTATGCTGTCAGTAGCTATTAGATAAATAATATTTTTGGCATAGAAATGTGGCTTGCTGTGCCAATGAAGGCTGATGTGGTTTCCTCTCTAAATATCGTAATTTATTTCATTCGGAAAAGCACTCCACAGTGACCCTGACCTGTATTCATACCCAATCCTCTTGATCTGCCTTCCAAGCTGGCCCGGAGACACTGACATTTCAGTTATCATCCAGTATTTTTTTTTAATATAAAAAAGTTAATTATTAAATGCCTGCTTGATTCTTAAGTCATACGAGGCAATTGTCAATTACTTAATTGCTGTTATTCTTGAAGGTTCTATTATCCCATTGAAAATTGAAGTGCCGCAGCTGACAGTGATTGTCTCTGAAGGATCTGATGTGGAATTAAGGTGTGTGTTCATTGGAACCCCAACACCTCGAGTAACATGGCACAAAGATGGAAAAGTCGCTGATGTGGGATTTCCAATCATCCAAGCTGTAAACAGCAGATGTGAAGCGATTTTAAAACTAAGCAGTGTTACGCAGTCACTTTCAGGGCATTTTGCTTGTGTAGGGAATGCAGGGGATTTAGCAGGCACAGCTGAGGGAAATATCACACTGGTTGTTAAAGGTAACTTAGTTTATGAATTAAATGTTTTGTCTCAACAGTCTCCATTATTGATAATTAAGGTTTGCCACATGTCTTCTTTTTTCTGTTGAACATACACAAAAGTAATCTGAAACCTCCATTAAGGGGCCACCTGTTAAGTGGCCAACCCTCATTAAGAAGCCAGTTCTGAAATTGTTATCATTATAACACTGTACCGATGAAGGTTCTATTCATGACTAACCCCTATTAAGCAGCCATATCCCTCTTTTCCCTGAGGGTGGCCAGCTACTAGAAGGGGTTTGACTGTATAAAATTTATTGTTGCAGGAGAATGAACAATAATTTCACAAAATGAAATGTGCTTTTCTTAGTTTCTAAATTCTTGCAGCACTTGAGTTCGTCCAGCATGCACTTGCAGCTGGAGATTTTAGTATGAATGAGTAATATTACTATTTAAATTATTTGTCATAAGAAATCAGCTGAAAGTACATTAGTTAAAAATAATAACAAGCAAATAGAATTCTTTAACTCAAATCCTATTCCCTCAAATGGAAAACCTTATTAAATACACTTAATTAAATGATAATTTGCATTTAATTCTGACCAATTGTAGGAGGTGTACCTGACATCAAACCACTGAATGAGTATAAAGAGACCAAAAAGGAGTCTAACACTACCTTACAGCTCTTTGTTATGGGAACAGAAGAACCAGACATCACATGGTATAAAGATGGCAAACAACTGAAAAATTCTGGTTCCCTTAAACCACATGCAAATGGTACATACCGCGTGGAGCTGGAAATAACGTCAGCTCAATACAGTGACAGAGGACTTTACACATGCACAGCTCAAAACCAGTTTGGAACCAGCTCTGCAAATGTGACTTTGGCTGTCAAAGGTAAACAAATCTAAACCTCTGAGGGGTTTTGTGTGCCCTGGATGTATCGATATGTTGCTTAACAACAGCTCAACGAGAATTGCATGTCCAGTCAATAAGCCCTTAACATTGGGTGTCTGGAAACCTGAATAGGGAATAGCAAACAGTGGCAAGTAGTTCTGAACAGCAGGTACATGTAATGGTCTTGGTTAACCTGAATTAAATACTCTGGTTAACCTAAATACAGCTTTATAGCACTTATTCAACAGTCACTTTGGTTACATGTAGCTTTCCATGATCATTATTGTACGGGAAACACTAACAATTATCAACTGTAACTATTTAACTACTGTCAAATCAGCGCTATTTAGGCTCAGGACAGTTATGTAGGTTAACCATGACTATGATTTGCCACAATTCGCAGATATTTGCAGCTATTAGCTGTTTGCTACTAACAGCATTTTTGGGTTTTCCAGACACCCCTTAGCATACATAGTGCTAGTAGGAAATGGGTGCAAGAAAATTAAAAAGGATGACAAGATGAATCTAGACCATGTTGATCCGCTGGATGTTATCTTTTCCAGGAATTCCTGAAGCACCAGTGAATGTCACAGTTAAACCCACATCTGTCAACACTGTCTTGGTATCCTGGGTGTCTGGATATCACGGTGGAGCTAATTGTACATTCACTGTTCAGTTCAAGAGAAGTGACGTGAGAGAATGGACATCTTCTGATGATGCTATTTTGGGAAATGCCACAAACACAGTTTTAACTAACATGGAGGGTTGGAATGGCTTGTTTATCTTCAGAGTGACAGCTGTCAATCAATTTGGATCTAGTGAATCCAGTGAAGTTCAAGTTACGTTGGGTATGTCTAACGAAGGCCATGGTTTTAGATCAAACTTCACATTCATGAGCCAAAGTAATTGTCTCTTCCAGGTGTTCAGTTAGTTAGGGTGCAGCACAAAAATGGTGCACAAAAATAGAGGAGAAGCTCTACCCCAACCAACTGAAGCCTGGAAGAGGCTACCAAAGTAATGCAGATATGAACAAAAAAACAATTATAGCGTTTGCTTATTTGCATTAGTTAGGTTCGGTTCATGTGAAGTTTGGCTTCAGTCAACCTTTGACTGTCACATCTGTATCCTTGAACACACAGCTGCAGCCAAATTATTAGCTTATAAACCAAGACGTTTAGACTGTGAAATGTGTTGGACTTTTCAGCTAAACTGACCAGTTTGAGACTAAAATTGTCAAGAGTATGGTGTCCAAGCTTTGCAGACATACTGCAATGCGAAGCAAAACCTTTGTTCTGAAAATGTGCTAACTGTGTATTGTGTCAATATGAAATTTCAGCTATGAAACAGACATTTTCCTGTAATAATAAGCCCAAATTAAAGCATCTCCTCAACGCCATTGCAGACAAGTTGTGTGAAAGGTTGTTTCCACTCAATGCAACAAAGCCTTATGTAATATGTTGGTTTCATTTATCAGGAAACGATGTCATTCCACGAAAACGTGTAGATAAAGATTCATCAATTGGTGCGATAGTGGGTGGGGTCGTAGGAGGGGTGTTGGTCATACTGCTGGTGATTGCTATTGTGCTGATCATGCGCCGCAAACAGAACAAGAAGAAGAAGGGTCCACCTAAACCTCTTCCCTCGGTCTCGTACTCTGTTGTGGTATGTATCATTTTGAATCAGACAAATAATCAATGATCAATCAATCAATCATATCATTACGACTTATCTGTATGTTCAGGGAGGGAAAATACCCTCCTAACACCACCTGTATATTGGTGTTCATGCATGGCTCAAATATCCATGAAGCAATTAGATTATGAGCTCGAGATTTCTAT